CCACCTGCTTCTACGCACTATCATTTGTACAACTAGTAGACTCCTCTTTAGAAGATAACATAGACAATTCATCAAAAGTAACATCTCTACTGATTACAAATTTTGGGGATTTGGGATCAGAACATCATAATCTGTATCCTTTCACCCCAGAAGCTCTAATTTTCCTTCATTTATATGCATGTATGCTGGACACCCAAAAAATTTTAAATCAGAGTAATCAGCAGGAGTACATGACCAAACTTCCTCCAGAGTTTTAAAGTTAAGTGTCGTAGAAGGAGCGCGGTTAACATGTCATATTAATCGCCTCTACCCAAAAGTCCTTTGTCAACCCTGTATTTGAGATCATACACCTTGTTCTCTCAAATAGTGTTATGTTCATACGTTCGACCACACCATTTTGTGAGGCGTCATCCTAATAGTGCGATGCCGAACAATTCCTTCATTTTTGCAGAATTCATCAAAGTCACCTTCACAAAATTCCATGTCATTATCTGTTCGAAGTCGCTTAATCTGTTTACCTGTTTGCTTCTCAATCAAAGCCTTCCATTGTTTAAAGGTTAGAAAAATATCATTTTTATACTTCAAAAAATAAACCCAAACTTTCCTGGAATAATCGTCAATGAAAGTCAACATATATCTGGCACCACCTTTAGACTGAACATGAGATGGACCCCAAAGGTCTGAATAAATATAGTCAAGAATACCTTTTGTTTTGTAAACTGCCGGAGAATTGAAGCTAACTCTTTTTTGCTTTCCAAAAATGCAATGTTCGTAAAAATCCAGTGGTCCAGTACTATGTCCACAAAGGAGACCCCTTTTGTTCAATATGCTCAAACCTTTTTCGCTCATATGACCCAAACACATATACCATAATTTGGTGATGTCAGAATTAGACAATGATGATGATGAGACTGCAATTGAGCCTGTGACAGTAGTTCCCTACAAAATATATAAGCTACCAGACCTACAAGCTTTCATAACAACAAGGGCACTTTTAGAAACTTTCATAACTCCACCTTCAGCTACGTATTTACACCAAAGGGCCTCCATGGTGCCTAAAGAGATAAGATTCTTTTTTAAATCAGGAATATGTCTGACATTAGTGAGCGTCCTCACAATACCATCATGCATTTTAATTCGGATTGTGCCTCTACCAACAACATCACATGCGTCATTATTGCCCATCAAAACAATTCCACCATTACAATATTCATACGTGGAAAACAAATCTCTTTTGGGACACATGTGATAAGAATAACCCGAATCTAAAATCCATTCATTTTTAGACCTCGTCCTGTCATTAGTAGCAGAGAAAATATTTCCAACATTCTCATCAGCTGCTACACTAGCTTCAGCGGACTTAGTAGTTTTCTCAATAATTTTTCCCTTTTGCTTTAATTTATTTTTCAATTTAAAGCAATCAACCTTAATGTGACCTATTTTATGACAATATCTGCACTCCAAATTTTTATGTCTTGATTTAGATATAGATTTAGATTTACTACTATCAAATTCTTTTTTGATTCCCTCTACTTTCCCCCAGTGATATCCTTGTATATCTGCTCCTTAGATTTTAGTGCAGATTTAATTTCCTGATACGAAATTATTTCTTTTTCATAAATCATAGTATCACGGAAATACTTAAAGGATTGGGGAAGAGAACATAAAAGTAACAGGGCCTTATCCTCGTCATCAATTTTTGCATCTATGTTCTCCAAATCCATAACTAAGGAATCAAATTTATCAAGATGTGAGAGTATAGATGTACCTTCAGTCATCCGAAGCATATACAAACTCTGCTTCAAGTAGAGACGATTCTCCACTGTCCTCTTCGTATATAAGGCTTTAAGTTTATCCAACATGCTCTTAGCGGTAGTCTCCGTAGCTACCTCTCGTAAAACTTCGTCAGAGAGATTTAGAATAATGCTGGATCGGGCCTTCTTATCCATACTAGTAAGATCTTCCTTTGACGTACCATCTGGAATGTTCTCAGTTCCCTGTAGTGCCAAATCAACTCCGTCTTGAACCAGAATGGCCTCCATCTTGAGTTGCCACATGTCGAAGTTGACATTTCTGTCGAATTTCTCGACATCGAAGTTGACATTTCTGTCGAATTTCTCGACAACGATCTTTGTTATTGTCATCGTTGTCAAAAGATCCCGAAACCAAGCTCTGATACCAGTTTGATAGAGCTAGCTTCAGGAAATTTACCAAAGGGTAATTTTGATAACCCAACAAAGACAATAAAGAAGAAATAATAAAAGCGACAAGAACATCATATTTACGTGGTTCGGTCAATTGACCTACATCCACGAATGAAGGAGGAGCAAATCACTACTATAAAAGATGGACTATTACAAATGCCTTAGGAAACACCCGAATCTATTAAACAAGAAAAACCCAAACTATAAGCCTAAACTATTTAATTGAGTGTGGACTTAAACCCAAAGCAAACACTTCGATTTTTCTTGTGGTGCATCTGACTTTAAAGCCCAAGCCCTTATTTATAGTTTAAACAGGAGATACCAAGCTTGATTTTCCTGATGTGGAACTATGTGGGACTTGCCAAACTAACAGGTATCATCTCAATTAATTTAATATATCAATTTAAGTTCAAAGCACGATAATAATAATGCTTGATGGTCTTATGCACCTTTCAATGACCGAATAAACACTAATGATTTCATGTAGTTGTTTCACAAATTAACACCTCATAGCTTCAATGATTAATCAATTTCTTTATAATAATACGTTTTCCTTAGTTGTCTTATCACGGACTTGTGCACCTATAACACATTCATCGATAGATCATTTTCTGTAGGCTACGGTATAGATAAAAACGTAAACCATCTCAGCACCTTGGAATCCCGAGGATGGCAACTGGGGGATGATAGTTTAGGATAGTATTGGACTTTGATTGGATTCATAAATTTACACTTTAAGCTTACAGGAACTTGCTAACGCTCCCGATAGCCAGTGAGGAATTGTTTGTAGACTTAGGATTATTCGTTTTTCTTCTAAAATCCTTGTTTTCTCTTTCATCTCTTTTTTTCTTTTGCATACCGTATATTTGCTAAATTATTTATAAAGTTGTTCGCTTCGTAAGGCATTGGGACTTGTTTGTCTCTTGCTTTCGAGCTAGTCAATTTATTTTTTTACAAGTTTTTTGGGACTTGAGCAAGGTTGCAACTAGGCCGATTCTTTATGGACGGATAACGTAATGATGCCTCACGACTTAGACAATCTTAGCTAAGTTTATGACATTGGTGCAAAAGTGTCTTACAACTTTGGTAATTCAAGCTAAGTGCATGATATTACTACAAGGGTATCTCACGACTTAGACAATTCTAACTAAGCCTATCATAATTTGTCTGTCGAATAAAGCAAGCATAATATGCTTTGATACTTTTCGAATCCTCCGTAACTTAAGCATTAGAGGGATTTTTATTAGATATGCTTCGGATGTAATTTTTATTCAGATCCTTCTAGTTTCCTAATATCAGATTCGTAATAATATGTCATTCTGGACCTCTAAACTCATTGATGTATCAAACAACCTTCAACTTCATTAATAAAAGAAAAATATTAATTTTCTTTGAGAAGTGGATAATTATTTATGGTAACTAACCTTATAAATTCTTGTACTAGAATATAACGCATGCCAAAGTCAATGAGTTAAAGTTGAATCTTATGACACTCAAAATGCATTTTCAATTCTTCTATTAATACATTTGTTAACCAATTGATGTCTTCCTTTACGTGTGTCTTAGTTTGAACTTAGTTTAGGATCAACATGTCTACTTCAAGATTGTCAAACCCTATATAACTTTGTCTCTAAGATTTAAAAAAATGGGTAAAGATTCATAGAGTAATTGTGATTAATGTTGGTTACGTAGAGTAATTGTGCACTTCTCTCGATCTTCTACGTTCGTGTTGTGTCAAGCCCGCTAACATAGTGATAGCTCAACTAGTTAGGTTATATGATATTGATATATCCATCATATAAGATCATGATATTAGTCAGATAGTATTAAGATATCGATTGAGCGACTATAAATTGATCGAGTGGCATAAAGTATCGACCACATAATATCGAAATATCGATAGTATGAACCAGGTTCTTAGTTTCATATCAACATACAATCTATAAGTATTCATACCGGTGCTTCTATCATGATGTTACAATAACTTACTTGGTCCTTACCTACGAGTACATAAAGAAAATCACCAACCGTCCACCATATATCAGTTGGATGGTTGTGATCAAATAGAAATCTATTTCGCCGCACATATTTATGTCCCACAAGATTAAACATAGTCGTATATTTGCCCTTATAAATAAATAGATAATATATTACTTATTAGCAGTTTTATAATAAAATCAACTCAATCAGTAATAACCATGATTATCGATAAATAATTTGAGTTTAAAACATAAGAATTTTCATTACCCCCTTCATTGCATTAAAAATACAACATTTGATCAAATGATAACTAACACTGATTAGATAGTTAATAACTATGTCATATCATATCATAAAATGTTAGGGGTGCTTAATGGTGAATTTTCAAATTTTTTTTTGAACTTTTCTCAGAAATACTCTCATTTTCAAAATTTCCTAATGACGCCCGTCTTTGCCTGAGACATGAAATATCTTCGTTCATCTCTCTCTCTCTCTCTTTTTGGTTCTGACTGATTCGGTTAAAATATTTTTATACTGTTTTCAATAATTTCAGAAAACACTGTAGCACCGTATAAGAATATTGTAACTGTAGCGTGCGTAAAAACACTATAAATATAATATTTTTTTAATATAAATTTTGAATAAAAATATTATTTTATAATGTCGTAATCATTTTCCAATAATGTGGAAAATATCATAACACAATTTAAGAATATTATAATTGAAACGAGAAAAAGGAGGAAAAATGAATAGGTGATCGATTGTCAAATTAAGAACATTTCAAATATTAGGAAAAAGACAGACGATATTAAGAAATTTTAGAAATGGAGGCACTTCCCATTAAAAGCCCAAAAACAAAAGTGTTTTCTGGAATTCGTCCGTTAATCTATACAAATTTAAAGAAAAAAGAAATCTATAGTAACTTATAAAGGCAACTCACGAGACCCACTCTTAATGAACGCATCCAATAGTATAGACTATATCACTACTTCAAACAGTAGTCCACCTTGATCTAATCATGATCTGACCTATTTAATCAGAATACAAGGAAGAAGAACATGGAACAAGTTGACTCGGAACTTAACAACGTTCTCATAGTCTCAAGGACAAGTCAATCTCTACTGCTAGCTTCTTCCTATCATCCACACCGCCATTGCTGGTAGATCCGAAGCCGTCTGTCTTCTCACGGATGGCCAAGGCCAGCTCCCGGCGCTGCATGGCGAGGCTCCGCTCCAGCTTGTGAGCGTTCTGATGACCTCCTAAAGCCTGGGAGCTGTGGAACTTGCGGGGGCAGTAGGAGCAGGTGAACATCATCACTGGCTCCGGCAGACTACTCCATGGCTGCAACCCCAGCTCCAGATTCAGGTCATCATCTGCGTTCTTGAGTCCCAACTCCATTGCTCAATCATCTAATGAACCGGAGAGAGCAATGCTTGTGTGTGTGTGAACTGTGGTGTTATATAGCTAGAAGAGAAAGGATACAAGACAAGCGACACGAAGAAAAAGGATAAGGACAAGAAGAGAAGACACTGTATTCAAAAGGAAAACATGTTCTTCACGATTTTAAAATGTCACTGAAATATTTTTTGCATATTGTCACATGTATTTTTTTTTTTTTTTTTTCTGAACATAGAAACTTAAGGGATCATGACAAAACATGCAACTGAGTCGTTAGCTGCAAAGTTACAAAAACGGGACATGTTCAATTTTTTGCATAATTGTCACATGCATGTTGACATGTTCAATTTAAGCATTCATTTTCATTGGAATTTGTAATTACCAATTTGTGGTGTTCAAGAGTCTCAAGTCTAAATGGCAATTTCTCAAGAACTCCAAAAGACAAATCCAATATTATCAATTATTTGTTTCCGGTCAATGCAATACATACTGTTCATAGGAACTATCCAAGCTGTGTAACACAACAAAAATGAGTGACGGAGATGAACCAACCGCATGGTGTAAGAAAGAACACAAGCCTCATGAAAGCTTAATTTTATGTCAAACTCTAAACAAAAAGGTTTTACCGAACAAAGATACACAATTTTGAAGGAATCCTTCTGCTCAAATTTTTTGTAAAATTCCCTATGTTTATTATGATAAATTGACTGAAGTTACAGTGATTTCATCTCATAGCACTATCCATCAGAAAAGCCAGTCAGTTTTTACTGGTAGGTCCTTCTCATCCACTTATCTATTGAGATGCAACTGTAACTAGAGGACATACATCCATATTGTCAATTTGGACATGTCAAAATACTGAGATCATAAGCTTGTGATGCTCAACTCAGTACCATGCAGAAAAATTTGCTCAGTGGGCAAGAATAATTCAACACATGCTTGATGTGCCATGATACATCCAAACAAGTCTAGACCATGCAATTCTTATCATTTCAACCTTCCCGAATTATTGGGTGGTGACTGGTGACAGGAACAGAGACCTTGTACCATATGACAAAGGGTCTGCTTCACCAGTGGGGCAGTGAGTCAGTTGCGGTGGCTAGAGAGAAGTTGCTTGCTTCCGTGTGCATGTAACGGACCTAAATTGATGGAGACAACACTAACAAAGAAAACTTGCTGGCTAAAGAGAATGTATTTGCCAGCAATCCGACATTCTTCCATGTGATAGCCAGAAATTGACGAAAGAAACGTGCTGGCTGAAGAAGCAGCCCCACATCCTTTTCTTTTGTGAGCCCATGATGTTTCTAGACCTAGTGTGACATGTTCAAACGACCAAATCTTATTCTGTACCTAAAGCTGCTCAACAAATGACCACTTCATTGTTTAAATTGTGCTCATCTCGAATTAGTAAGAAATTCCCAGTATCTAAATTATACAGTCAAATGCCATGGATCAATATAAGGTTTGAAATACCATACGATATAGATTATATTAACCAGTCCAACAATCCACCAGTATGCATACCAATGTAAATGACACAAGACATCTACCACCAAATGAAGGGGGGTTTAGGCCCTGTACAGGTTATTTTTTTTATTGTTTCAGTTTTTTACTTTCAGAAATTTCTGAAATCCAGTACACTGGTACAGATCAGTATGATACCGGTCTAAGCCCTGACCAGTAAATGAAACTGTGAACCTTCCATTAACATCTAACGAAATGTCCATGTTAACAATATTAGCAAAAAAAGGTCTACATTTCTGTTTAAACAAGGCTAGCATTGTCAAAAATAATTTTAAAAGACTATGTATATCGATCCTCCTCGAGCCTCATATTAGCAGGAGGCTCGTTTTTGGGCGTAATTTGTTTCATGTTACACTAGAAAGCCAATCCAAACATAACTTCAATTGTGCTCAACTCAATAAAACTCAACGCTAACTAAAATGACTAAACATATGTAACATCAGATGAGAAGTAAAGGATGTCTTTGGCCAATACATCTTGCAAGTGGGAGGGTCAGTATTTTCATTTGATGAATGTAGTTGCTATCATTTCATCTAAAATCTCAAGTGTTTACACAAGACAAAATTTATGCATTTATATTCTTGATACTAGGAGAGTCAATATTTTCATTTGATATTTGTTTAATTATTTATTGTTATCATTCCATCTAAAAACTAAGTCTGTATATAAGATAAAATCTATTTATTAATATCCTTCATACACTGTGTATGAGATGAAAAAACCCACTTTGATTCAATGTTCCATCATCGATTGCTATCTCTCCATCTAATCGTTAGTTCGTTCTCCAAAGACAGTGACACTTCAATGATTGACATATTTCTTCAAATAATTAACATGCATCTCGCTGTAAGAGAAGAAAGGACGGCATTGCAATTCAAGACAAGAGGGGTATTTAGCCCAAATACCTTTTCCTCGAGGTTGAATCCGGCAACTTCTCGTTCCCACCAACGAACAGAGACCTTCGTGAATACGACGGTCAGAAAAAGAAGCAAGAAGCTGCCACGGATCGGTTTCCCATCTCAAGGGCAAAGCGAGCATACGAAGACCATCAAATAAACGGCATACCATCCGCCGCGGGAGTCCACCAGATCCGCGATCCGGGTGCGCAGCAGAAGGCGGGACGAAACGGCACCGGAAAGTTCCAAGGAACAATAACTAGAGGATCAAGAAGCCGGCGATCGGGCGATTGCCGCGGATGGGCGAGGCGAAGCGCATCTCGGTGCTCATCTACGAGGAAACGACGGGGCGCTTAAGATCTATTCGGAGAACGGCCGCGACCCGCAAGATCGTTACCGCCATGGGGCGCCAAGGCCGCACCTCTACGGCTTCGGTCTTCTCATCCTCCCTCTCCTCGCGTGGCGAGTTCGATCGGCTAACGCCACAGAAAGGGCAGAGTTTAGTTAGTTAGTTAGTTAGTTATTGTGGTCTTCCATATTAATTGGGATAGAAAATTAAATATTTTAAATTAATATACGAGCCCTTCTCAGTAATTTGGAACCATTAATTTTACATTTAAATTAAAATCCCAAATTAATATATTTGGGATGACATATTCCTCTCGGTACTAAAAATATGGTATGGTCATTTCTATCTTTGATTTAAAATATAATATCTGTTGGGTCAGAAATTAAAAAGAGGAGAGAGAAGGTGAGAAAACAGAGATCAGATTGCGTGTAGAGAAAAAAAGGAGAGAAAAATAGAGAGAGAAAAATTAGGTTTCTGAGTTTTCTATTTGACGATCGGTGGCCAAATGTTGTCAGTTTCGGCCCAAATTTTATATAGAGAATCTTTACAGCAAACTCTACAATCCTAACGGTGTTGATCTGCAGTTTACCCTCTTTAAGGTACTTTCCTGTGATATTCACTTCGTGAGACCTAGAATTCTCTTATGAGAAGATTCATAGGTACGATGAAGATATGTTATTCTTGAGCTAAGATCTATGATCTTGATGTTATTCTGATCCTCTAGTTATTCTAGAGAAGATCTACTGTAAACCTGTTATCATTATTATTGATAGTGGAAATTTGAGGTGGACTACGGTCCCGTGGTTTTTCCCACATTGGATTTTCCACGTTAAAAGATTTGGTCTCACTGTGTGATTGATTATTTGCTCTATTATTTATGCTGTGTTGGTTGATATTTACATTTGGATATCAAGTTGGTATTTTGATGAGGAACCCATTTTGATACACAAAGAGGGAAAAGAATATTCCGCTTTAACAGGTTTTTCCTAACAAGTGGTATCAGAGCAACAGGTTGGTTGGTGCTAGTTTTTCTTGTGTGATTGAAATGGAGTCAGATGGTATGTTTAAATTGAACTCATCAAATTATTCTACTTGGAGGCGTCTGATGGAAGATTTGCTATATTGCAAAGATTTGTATAAGCCTATCAAAGTTAAAGATAAACCTTCTACTATGGACGATGAAGAATGGGAAGTTCAACATAGAAAAGCTATTGCCTATATTAGAAGATGGATGGATATAAACTTGCATGAGAATATTTCTGATGAAACCAGAGCTGATGTTGTTTGGCAAAGGTTAGAAAACCTCTTTGCGAAAAAGACAGTGGGAAATAGAATTTCTCTCCTCAGAAGGCTTGTAAATTTGAAGTATAAAGATTGTGGTAACATTGTTGAGCACATAAGCCTATTTCAGAGTCTTGCAAACAAGTTGGTTGCTATGAAAATGAATATAGATGATGAGATGCATGGATTATTACTTCTCAGCTCTTTACCAGAAAGTTGGGAAACGTATGTGGTGACTATTTGTAACTCCACGCCAGAGGGGACTCTAACCATAGATATGGTTAAAGATAGTTTGCTAAATGAAGATGCCAGAAGGAAAGAACATGGTGAATCTTCTTCTGGGGCATTTGTTACTGAAAAACAAGAAAGATGTGGAAGAAGTTATAGTAGAAACCCACATGGATATAGAGGAAGATCCAAGTCTAGAAGAGATATCAAATGTTTTCACTGTAACAGACCAGGTCACATGAAGAAAGAGTGTAGGTTTTGGAAGTGAGAACAGAATGAAATGAAGAAAAATGAGAAAGAGACCAATACAATTACTACTGAAGGTAATATCACTATTGTCTGTAATGAAGGTTGTGTTAGCCTTGTAGCTCAGGACAGTAATTGGGTAATTGACTTTGGTGCTTCATTTCATGTCACTTCTCATGGTGATTTCTTTAGATCTTACACTGCTGGTGATTTTGGTAATGTCAGAATGGGAAACAATGGTACATCTAAGATTGTGGGTATTGGAGATATTTGCTTGGAGACCAGTATTGGGAGCAAATTAATACTCAAAGATGTAAGCCATGTTTCAGATATTCGTTTTAACTTGATATCTACAGGTAGACTTGATGATGAGGGCTTTGCACATTATTTTGGTGAAAGTAAATGGAAACTCACTAAAGGTTCTCTAATTGTGGCAAAAGGAAAGAAGATTAACTCTTTTTATGTCATGGAAGCTAAGCTACACAAAGGAGAGATTAATGTAATTCGAAAAGGTGAAAGTATAGATCTTTGACATAAGAGGCTTGGATATATCAGCGAGAAGGGACTTCAAACTCTTGCTAGAAACCAGTTCTTACCAGAGTTGCAAGGTACATATCTTAAATCTTGTGATCATTGCTTAGCTGGAAAAACACATAGAGTTGCATTTCAGACATATCCATCATCTAGAAGATCAGATGTTATTAATTTAGTTCATACTGATGTTTGTACTATGCAAACTAGAACTCTTGGAGGTGCTCTTTATTTTGTTACTTTTATTGATGACCATTCTAGAAAAGTGTGGGTTTTTGCTTTGAAATCTAAAGACCAGGTACTCGATGCTTTCAAGGAGTTTCATGTTAGTGTTGAAAGAGAAACTGACAGAAAACTAAAGTGTATTCGATTAGATAATTGTGGCGAATATAGGGGTCCTTTTGAGAATTTTTGTAGGTTCCATGGTATCAGGCTTGAGAAAACAATTCCTAAAACTCTTCAGCAGAATGGTGTGGCAGAAAGGATGAACAGAACCATTGAATAAAGGATTAGGTGTATGCTTTCCCATGCCAAGTTACCAAAGTCATTTTGGGGGGAGGCTATGAGAACTACAATTGACCTGATAAATCTTTCTCCATCAGTTCCTCTACAAGGTAATGTTCCAGAGAGAGTATAGAGAGGAAAAGATATATCTTATAATCATTTGAGAGTCTTTGGGTGTAAAGCATTTGTTCATATTCCCAAAGATGAAAGGTCCAAGCTTGATAGTAAAGCAAAAGCATGTATCTTCTTGGGATATGGTCATGAAGAGTTTGGTTATAGATTATGGGATCCAGTGAACAAGAAGATTATTAGAAGCAGAGACGTTGTGTTTCTTGAAGACCAATTGTTTGATGATGGTGATAATATTGAGAAGCCAGAAGCCTCTGTTTATATTCCTTGGAGTTTGGGTCTAGTTCCTTCACTTGTAGTTCATGATGATCATGGGGGAGATGAACAAGAAGATTATGGTGAGAATACCAATGATGATACACCTACAGTTGATGATGCTGAACCAACTGAACAAGCACCTTCACCACCAGTTGAGATTCCATTGAGAAGATCCACTAGAGAGCGACAACCCTCTACCAGATATCATCCACATGAGTATGTTATGCTTACTGACGAGGGAGAGCCAGAAACTTACCAAGAAGCTATTCTACATGAGAATAAGAATGAGTGGGTTAAAGCCATGCAAGAAGAGATGAGATCCCTGCTTGAGAACCACACCTATGACTTGGTAAAGTTGCCTAAAGAGAAGAAAGCTCTCAAGAATAAGTAGGTTTATAAATTGAAGACTGAAAATAATAGCTCACAACAGAGATACAAGGTATGACTAGTTGTGAAAGGATTCAGTCAGAAAAAAGGTATTGACTTTGAAAAAATATTTTCTCCAATTGTGAAAATGTCCTCTATCCGAGTTGTTCTTGGTTTGGCTACCCGCTTGAATTTAAAAGTTGAACAACTTGATGTGAAAACAACATTTCTTCATGATGACTTAGAAGAAGAAATTTACATGGAGCAACCAGAAGGTTTCAAAGTCAAGGGAAAAGAAAATCTAGTATGTAAGCTTAAGAAAAGCTTATATTGACTCAAATAGGCACCTAGACAATGGTATAAGAAGTTTGATTCCTTTATGATGAGCCAAGGGTATGATAGAACTACATTGTGTGTTTATGAAGAAATTTTCAGATGATGATTTTATTATTTTACTGCTATATGTTGACGATATGCTGATTGTTGGCCATGATATTGAAAAAATTGGAAAGCTTAAAAGAGAGCTAAGTAAGTCTTTTGTCATGAAAGACTTAGGATCGGTGAAACAAATACTTGGCATGAAGATTTTTTGTGATAGGAAGAAAAGAAAGATTTGGCTATCTCAGGAGACTTACATTGAAAATGTTCTTGAAAGATTCAATATGAGTAAAGCCAAAGCAGTTTGTTCTCCACTTGCAGGTCATTTCAAGCCGAGTTCGAAACAATGTCCTACAAGTGAGAAAGAAAAAAAAGAAATGTCCAGAGTGCCTTACTCATCTGCAATATGTAGTTTGATGTATGCTATGGTTTGTACTAAGCCAGATATAGCTCATGTAGTTGGAGTTGTCAGCCGATTTCTTTCAAATCCTGGAAAGGAACATTGGGCAGCAGTGAAATGGATATTAAGATATCTAATAGGTACTTCCAGGTTATGTTTATGTTTTGGTAATGATGAACCTGTGTTAGAGGGGTATACAGATGCAGACATGGCAGGTGATACTGATTCCAGGAAGTCTACTTCGGGATTCTTGTTGACATTTGCAGGAGGAGCAGTCTCTTGGCAGTCTAAGTTACAGAAGTGTGTTGCTCTGTCAACCATAGAAGCATAATACATAGCAATTACTGAAGCCTGCAAGGAAGCTTTATGGATGAAAACATTTCTATAGGAATTGGGCTTGAAATAGGAAGGATATACTGTTGTTTACTATGACAGTTAGAGTGTCATTCACCTCTCCAAGAATTCAACATACCATTCTAGATCCAAGCATATTGATGTGAGATATCACTGGATTCGTGATGTGCTTGAGTTGAAAGAATTATAATTGGAAAAAGTGCATACCAACGAGAATGGATCAGATATGTTGACAAAGTCTTTGCCTAAGGAGAAGCTTGAAGCATGTAGGCAAAGAGCGGGCTTGGTACAACCCACCATATGAGTTGGAGGGGGAGAATTATTGGTCCAGCCCATATGTGGGCTTGGACAATTGGGTCTATTGAGCCCAATTTTAAAAAGAGGAGAGAGAAGGTGAGAAAAAAAGGAGAGAGGAGAGAAAAATAGAGAGAGAAAGATCAGGTTTCTGAGTTTTCTACTTGACGATCGGTGGCCAAACGTTGTCAGTTTCGGCCTAAATTTTATGTGGAGAATCTTTGCAGCAAACTCTACAATCCTAACGGTGTTGATCTGCAGTTTACCCTCTCTAAGGTACTTTCCTATGATATCCACTTTGTGAGACCTAGAATTCTCTTTTGAGGAGATCCATCCTATACGACGAAGATATGCTATTCTTGAGCCAAGATCTATGATCTTGATGTTATTCTGATCCTCTAGTTATTCTAGAGAAGACCTACTGTAAATTATTATTGATAGTGGAAGTTTGAGGTGGACTACGGTCCCGTGGTTTTTCCCACATTAGGTTTTTCACGTTAAAAGATTTGGTCTCAATGTGTGATTGATTATTTGCTCTATTGTTTATGCTGTGCTGAGGAACCCATTTTGATACACAAAGAAGGAAAAAAATATTCCGCTTTAGTTTTTCCCAACAATATCTAACATATATACAAAGGATACTAAATATTTTTATCATTGTCATGATTTAAAAAGGCATCTATTAGACTCCTTCCAATAATAATTATAAGAAACATATATATATATATATATATATATATATATATATATATATATATATATATATATGTTTTAAGAATAATGATAACATATTTATTACTGTTAATGTCATATTTTTTCGGGTATAATATATTTTTTTGAGTCATGAAATTTTTTATGAGATTTTTATTTTCGGATGAAATGGATAACTATTGTTTTTTTACTTATTCATGATAAGATCTAAAATGATGAGTTATATATCTCACATCTAAAAAAAAAACATTCAGAGAATACATTACGGCCGAAGATAATAGGAAAGGATAGAATTTATGGTAATATATTATTATGATTTTAATAAAAATATGGTAGTAAATATGTCTTTATTCTTTTCACCATAATATTATTGGTAGGTTTTTTTTTTTGCATTTATTCTTGATTGACAAAGCATACAATTTTCCTATTTTATAGTATTTGTTTGTGTAGATATATTTCATAATCAAAATTTAAGTTTGTGATATGTGGTTCCATTGTTGTGTCACCTCGTTGAGAGAGAGAGATATGGTCCCTCCTTCCCATTAGATTCTTCCTTGCGGCCAACCTTTCTCTCTCGTCATATGAAGTCTCCGCTCACCACCCCTTCCTCCTCCCATCATCTCCTCCCAACTCCGAAGGCCAAGGAGTTTCCTTCGACGCTTCCCCAAATGGCCGTCCCCTCTGGCCCCGGCGGCCGCTCTGATCCCGCGGCAGAGCCTGATCCCTTCGAGTTCTTCTCCTCCTGCTCTCCCGGCTCCCTCCCGCCCATGTGCGCCGCGACGGACGTCTTCCTCGACGGCAAGATCGTCCCCTTCGGCGATCCCCAGCCCAAACGGGCAGACGTCCCTAGCGTCGTCGTCCGCTCGCCGAAGAGTTGCGCCGTCTCCGATGGCTCCGACCGGCGCAGCCGGTTCTGGGTCATCGGTGGCAAGAAGCCAGAGTATCGGAGGCTGAGGAAGGCGTCGAACTGCGACGGAAATGCGCTCCCGCAGACTCAGGTGGCGAGGCAGCCGCCGGGGTGGTATCTCTTCGTGCTCGGGTCGTTGCGGGTCCCTGCGAAGACGGACATGAGCGACATCAGGAGCCGGCAGAGGCGGCGGAGCGCCGCAGCCGGGGCTTGCGCGAGGTCGGACGGCGACGTGCTCAGGGGCGCATGGAGGCTGCTGCAGACTCTGAGCTGCACGGCGCTGGAGAGCTCCACCGACGTCATGCCAACTCTCGAAACCAACGGGAAAGGCATTAAATTGGCAGGGGCGGGACGTTGGGCGTCACGAGAAGAAGCACAAAGTAGGTCACGGATGTATATCAAAGCAAGTAATTAGGTAATGTTATCTGTAGGAATACAAGGGGAGGTTAATAAATGTTACGCTTGCAGGTGTGTCTTAATTCATTGCTTTAGTAAGCTCCAAGAAGTGGAAGTAATGAATGAATCAGTGTCTCATTAGTGTTGGGATTGAAAGACTTTGTTGCCCGGAAAATAAGAAGAAGAGTGTTGTCAATGGAGGAGATGCTTGCTTTCCCAGTGAGCAAAGAAGGCTTCATCGAGTTGATTCTGACTATAAGCAAGCAAGGAATAGCTGCTTTTATAAGCTTAAAAGTAAAACTTTGGCGATTCATATAAATCAGAATTTAGATAATCCACATGAAGAATGCATAATTTTAATGCAATTGTTCTAATATGTCGGAAATATCATATGTAATTACGTCGGCTAAGAAAGCCTTCTAAGATACATATAGTTAATGATTTAGATTGACCGTGCGCCAACGTGATACCTCCCAAAACCATGCAAGAGATATGCATGCTTGGCCATGCACGTAGCTAAGAGCTTCTCCTAATCGACTCTCATTCAGAGAGCGCCTAACATGGCGAAACCCATGGCAACAGCGAGCCCAACAACACCAGCACCCACCCGGTCCGCAGCGGATTTCCCGCCACCGTCGCCTTCCGGGGCGTCGGCGTTGTCGGACGGAGCTCCCGCTGGTGATCCGTCTATGCCCGCTGAAGCCGGTGCGCCTGATGGCGCTGGCGCATCATCCGTCTTTCCGCTCGGAGACTCCGCATCAGATGCCCGCGGTGACGCTGCTTCGGACGGGGCCTCTGAGGGCGCTGCTGTGGGTGGCGCAGGGGCCGTCTTGGGCGCCGCCGTCGGCGTAGGAGATGACCGTGGCGCAGGGGCCGTCTTGGGCGCCGCCGTCGGTGTAGGAGATGACGCTGGCGGTTTCGTGCTTTGGTTGCTGGAAGCCCCGCCGCTGAGGCTAGGAGGAACGATGACGCTGCTGATCTGGAGGACCGAGATGTTGTAGGGTTGCGTGGCCAGGACCTTCACGAAGTTTGCGGTGAGAGAGGAGCCCGCCACGGCGGAGCCGAAGGCGATCTGCCCGTTTTCCATGTTGGTCACGTTGAGGAAGCCGTTCTGGCCTGCGGCGCCGCCGCTGGCCTGGAAGAGTGTGGTAAGGATGGCAGTGTGGTTGGAGATCTTGTGGATCTTGTTGTCGTCGTAGTAGTCGAGGATAACGTGCAGGGAGAGGATCTTCTTGATGGTGTCGATGGGTTCGTCGGAGACGGACGACACGGCGCCGTTGCTGACGGCGAGGATGGTGATGGTCGAGCGGCTGTTGATGTCGGCGGCAAGGTGGGTCTGGGTGAGGAGATCGTTGAAGGTGGAGAAGTCGGGCAACTGGGCCAGCATCTTGGTGATGTTGTGGGGAGCCACCAAGGGGAAGAGGAGGGAGAGGAAGAGGGTGAGGGTGAGGGAGGAGGCCGGTGCCAAATCCATGGCGGTGAGGTCTTGGGAAGGTGGAGAGAAAGGCGAAGGGAAGAAGAGAAGGGCGACGCTTTATATATACGTAGAGTTGGAGGGAGGAGAGGAAGAAGAAGAAGAGTGGTCGTCTATATTTGGATGTTGGTTGCTACCTTGGTCGGATATGGATGATGGGAGGGGAGGGGAGGGGAGGGGAAGCAGGGGGGAGTGTTGAAAGAGATATGGTTGACCTTGTGGGTTGGTCAAACTGGTGTTTCTTTGGGAAGAAGAAGTTTGACTTTTTCATTGAGGTCAATTCTAGCTGGTCCGACCATGAGGTGTTGACTAGTCCAAAAAGAGTCTATTTAAAGATATAATTTAAAATAATAATTACAAAATAATTTTTAAATTTGTAATTAAAATAGTAGTTACAAAAGAATATTTTGTATAATATAGTTTTATAATCTTAGACATATGTGAAGTTATATGTTCTCATCTTAAAGGAATAAAATAAGAAGAAAAGAGTGCTTAATTTCTTAATGTAATTAATTCCAAATATGCTACATAAATACCTTGCAAATTGTAGCTTTTATTATAATGACAATATATAGCCAAAACCAAATATTTAGTGGTATTGTATTTGAAATAAAAAAAAAATAGCCACGTCAGATAGGCATTAAGATAAAAGCCATTGTTATAGAGACTTTGATAATAATAATTTTTTGACTAAAAACTGCAATGGAATTAATATAAATTTTTTTATATGTTTAAAATTATATAATCACGTAAAAATATGTGCAAAGCAAAACGACTTTGAGTTTCATAAAATTATAATATCAATATTTGATATAGTTGTGATATGAGATTTGATCCTCAAACTTCATAGTTAGAGATCTAAAGATATTATAGATGAAAATCCCATCAATATATAGTTATCTATAACTATCAATACTCAATAATTATTTTTTTCAAAGATGTTTAGATTGGAGAATATATTACCAGAGGTGCAATGGAGTAATTGATCTATTAACTTCATTTGATCTAAATCATTGATCAAAATATTATATTCAGGTTAATCTTAATCTTATTGATATGAGACTGATTGACATGTTATAATTCAATTTTCACCGATATCATAAATTTAACTTTCCAAGTATAATTTGGTTACTTAGATGAGATTTCTAAAAAAACACTTACACCAATTTATAAACAAATATAAAGAAATAATACATCATCCATCTGTTATATGTAAGTCACACAGAATATATGGAAGCTAACACACACTCCAGTAACTTAAATTTATAGATTAGCGATTGTATCGATGTGTTCGATCCCATTAGTTTTGACCAATTTAATTCACTCTAATTTAATTAAATTTGACATGATAATTTTTCATGCAAGAACTAACAAGAAAACTTGGAATGGACAAAATATGATGTTGGCATGGTCACTTAGCAGCTCTGATTCGTCTACGAGAAGAAATGATATAGGCCAAAGTTAATATTCTGTTTAGTCTCATATGAACAAAATTTATGACAATTTGATGAGTTTATTGTTGACTTGTACTTATGAATTCTGGATCAGTGATTTGCCTTATGGAGAAATTTTTTGTCATCACTCTCTTTTGGGACTTTCATGCACAAATGAGTTGGATCATTGGGTAAGATGTCACAGTGCTTGGATCCCCACATTTCTTGTATGTGACAATGTCAGAATTTATGAAAATTTTTGTCATCACTATTGTAAAGTGAGTTAAATATTTTTGGTGGTATGTTTTAGTCTTATCAAGTTAATAGGTCAATTATCTCGTCAAATCAGCTTGAGATAATTGGTATTAAACCAAAGCTAATAATAGACATAGTGGGGAATCCTTTTTTTTTTTTTTAAATCCTAAACAAGGATAGACTTTGATGTTCCAATTTAGCTTCATATTGAAAATAAGAATGAGTCCATTATCACTAACTTGGCTTAAGTATTTGGAGTTATGTGATTTAGATTCACCAAGTTAATAGGTCACTCATATTATTGAACTTGGGTTATGATTATATATATATATATATATATATATATATATATATATATATATATATATAT